CTCTGCTGCGGAATCATTACCGTAAACTAACTGGCAGAGCGGACATCGCGCCTTACCAACGAATCAGATTACCATTTCAGATGAGGGAGAAGCATATGCGACGTGTGAATACGGCAGCGATTTCCAAGCGAAAGCGACGTGATCCTCCTGTCCGCCGTCGTCTACAATCTTCACACTGCAAAGATGTCGGTGAGACGTTTCGAGATCGCAGTGCAGTACATTGAGACGCTGAGCAAGAATACAGCTATTTCATACGTCTGCTGCTGGTATGACCGGGCAGATTTAAACGCGCTGGCTGGAACCCATGTATAGCCTTTAATTGTAAACCGAGAGGCGCGAGAAATGAGACCCTTTTAAGACGTCACCGGACGGTTTTGACAAGGATAGCTATTATGTCGAGATGCCATAGGCACTTGGCCGAATGCGTGAAATGCCTTACGAGATAGTACGCATCTGCACGTCGTTAAAGACCTTTCGATGGCATTAACTAAATTTTTTGTGTATCTAATATCATTGTATATTTTGTTCGCACTCAATGCTTTAGACGGGCTTTATGTTATGAAAAGAACCGTATACTATGTGGGGGAACAAGTCTCTGAAAATGATCTATAACAAAACCTGATTGTTTCTTTATAAGTTTTGTACATATCGTTTGGACAAGGTAGATGTATCCAAAATATAAGCCGATACCTTGTGCATATAGACCTGTTGTATATAGTAAAGTGAAAGAGAGGAGTTGATTCTAACTGCAGTCTGCGGCCCATTTTCAAACAGGCCGGTTAAATCACCATACCCACAAAAGACGCGCTTTATGTAACTATGTTTAGAATTATCCAGATCAGACACAAAGATAGCTCTGCCGACAGCAAACGAAGCCACAGAAAGAGGAGGGGACAGGGGGGCAAAGCCTGTGGGCTTACTATGTTGCGCATGAGTCATGTCATTGGCACTGCAGTTTGCTTAGCGTTCCTTCGTTTTCTACGTAGGGTTCATGTGGAATTGACAAATCCACTCAACGAGCTCCGACTGGTCATAGAAGTACTCGTTCAAAGGCCGTACGTGTATATGCACGCCTCGTATTGGGCTATATCAGATTGACCATATCGTTACCATGGGCACTGCCGTTGAGCCTGATTTTTTGCAGATAGTTTTAGTTTGCACTTGAGTGATATATGCAGTGGATTGATATCGCGAGTAATTTTAAATCTAAAATTACCGGTTACATAAAATTCTACGAATTTGTACAAAGTTACATTCTGAAAAATCTCTTTCCCTGATTTTTCAGAGTGGCAGGTAGTTGACATTCAACGACAAACAAGCGACATTATTTATGTAGTTTCATTACTTATTATTTGATTACTAAATAATTGTAACTATCTAATTAATTGCATAAGTTATGGTTTAATGAAAAAAAATTGCTCAAAGATATTGATTCATATATTAGTGTGCATGCATATTCTTGAATCCGACGTTCTACGTTCATAGCTTCCCGCTAAGTTGGTATGACGTTTTACATAACTCTCTTTCAAGAAAGGCTTTCGAAAATCGATGCCATTAGTCCATATTTACTTATAATCACGTGTACTCCAGTCATATTACCCATAGACCCAAATAGACGTTTGGCAAAAAACAGAGCCCTGATAGACTGTATAAGTAGACATCTAACTCATGTATGACGCACCGCATATATCTTTTAAGCTACTTCCCAAGCTAAATCCGTATTGCAGCAAAAGACTAATAGAGGTACAGCATATTCGTCTGATTTGTATCGCGAAATACGCAGAACGAAATTAACTAGCAAAAGACAAATGAAACGGAACATAATTGCAATGTGTCCATCACGCCTGGCTTGTAAGTCCAGTTAATGATAATGATCTAATAAGATGAAACACATTTGTTTGTCGTGAAATTATATACTGTTACTGTCCTAGCTCCATTAACGAAAATGATAATCTTGACATTGTTGCGCGCGAAACATATATATTAGGCTAAAACGCAAGCTTCCACGCTTTTTTTTTAAACTTTTTCCCCTCAATCTTACGTGTTGCTTACGTCTGTGACGTTGTCCAAAAAAGCTTTTCCTGCTCTATCGGCGTGCTGTAATAGCATTGTATGCGATGCAATTTCATTTCAAAAGAACTTCTCTAGGATGGATATTCCAGGCAGAAAAAATGTGCATTTCTAATATGTCTTGTATTAGGCATCTTGTCGAAATTAGAACGCCGCTACGACGGCCCGGAACATCTCCTTACTGTACAGTAACAGCGCTGTTACTCAAAGGACTGCTTAAAGGTTGAGAGATAATGGAACGTCGTGAACAAGGACGGGAAATACGTAACATAGCGAGAAAAATGTGTACTATATTCTGTAAACAAGCGCAGAAACCTACCTTCAATTTAGTATACCGATTGTACTGCTGCGGACTGCTTTAGCTTTGACGCTGGTTGCCAAGAATGTGTACTGTATTAATTCATGTATTTATAATATGTGTATCATCACATCTAGGCCTTTGTTTCGTAGTCTATATCATCTAGCACATAGTTGTCTGCACTGTCTAAATTTCATGATCCCTTTGTGCAAGTAAAAAAAAAATGTTTTTAGAACCTAGTAACAAGTTACACAACTTCGTGGACTATCGGGGTTGTCCTGCTTACACAACTAGGCCTTTCTTATTCCGACTGGTATCCTGCTGCCATAACAACACTCGTTGTAATTGCGGCTATTCGCGCTACCCGATGGAGTCGATTCCCACCTTCTTCTAACAGCGGATCAGCAGATACTGGTCAACGGATGGAACAGGACAGGAGATACTCTTCCAGTTTTTCACGCAAGTCAATGCACATAGCCGTCACGAACGTACCCACGTGCCTTAATCCCTATCTTTCGGCTCAGAAAATAGTGCGCTCTAAGGGCGTCCAGTTTTGTAAACGTCTTGGTGACTCCCATGACGGGTTGAAAACACCAACGCTTTGACGGATTTTGTCACTTGTTGATCCTCTCTGACTGGAACGTAATAAGGTGACTTTGTCAAAAGCGAACCCATGGATCTTCCATTCTTTCTGCAACACCTATATTATCACTGTTCATCGAGAACTAACTAGATGATACGCATCAATGGATGCACTGGGAGCACCTTTTTTGATGGATTCACAACATAAACACAAATGGAGCATGCCAATCTAGTATATCTGCCTGGACAACCGCAATCCTTCCCTGTAAATGCTGCGCATCTTATTTGACCTTGGAACAGCGACAGCACCCAGCACTCAGCCTTTTCTAGGCGCATTTTTAAAAATGGCTGTCAGGCTTTTTCGGCGTGTTGTCTCCAGCACCGCAAACTTCGCGTAAGCTTGGCCACTGTGATAAAATTCCGAAAAATAGTTGATTTAGAATTACTTCGGGTGTTAGCTATGCTGAATTGAGTTTGAGCCTCAGCTCACATAGCAGTGCTGATTTAACACAAACGGTTGGAACGTCTCCCGTACAACCTGAAAGCTCATAAAACCGCTTCAGCAAGCCGGGCTACTTCAGAAAAGAGAGAATACAGCCTTTCCTTGAAAGCTATCTAAGTCTCCCGCGCACCGATCTTCGAATTAAGCGAGAATTACTCGTTGCGAATATCTACACGGTTATTTCACGACACCCGGTCATTTCCGTTCCTACGCTAGCCACTCGTATTCCTCAACCCATCTCTTAGGCTTCGTCTCGTCGAGGACTACTGGAAATGATTAGCAACTTCTTAAATTATTCTCTGAACCTTGGCCATAGACACAGTATACTTATACAAGCCCATGGCTTTCGGTGCAAAGAGTCGAATGGATGTTATTAACACTGTTACTACGTAGGGAAGTCTAGCCTATATAATGTAAATCGCCTAACAGTCCTAGCACAATTAAGATTTGTTGTTGTTGATATTGTTCTATTTATACTTTGTATAACAGATAAATGTCGCCGATATTGCGAAAGTTAGCTTGCTTTTTTTGAACTCCTCATACCCAGATGATGACCATCAATTTCAAATTATTTTAAACGGAGCTGTTCAGGATGTTGACGAACGACGTCAAACAAATTCAAAATTAATTATGCCCTTTCCTGGATGAAAAATAACAAACACTATCAAAATGATTTTTTTAATCACTATTTATTTAAAATGTCATCTCTTCATGGTAAATCTCAAGTTCAAGTAGGTCCTAACTTGACCTCCACATAAATTCACGTCACTTAACACACATTCAGCGACTCCTGATTACATTGAGTTGTTATGTTTTGAAACAAACGCCTGGATGCTATACTTGAACTCAGCATTTCGCACCACAAAGTCCTTGCTAATATTTCCTGTGCTGTAAGCGATCCTTTCCAGCTTACTGAAATTTGTTACTGTAGCTTTTTTTATTTTCATGTTTGGCAGATGTTGTAATTCGAAAACGAGTTCAAAGCAAAAAAAAGAAAGTACATTTGGGCTATTTACCTTTTCTGAAACGGTACCTTTCTCCGAGTAGTTAGGGGTATTCTTCTTCATTGAACAGGTTTTAATATAGCATTTACTACTCTTCTAGTCATCTCTTTGTTTATGCAATTTTTCCTTAAACAAGCTAGCGTAGCTCATGCGGAATCTCAGCTTCATTCATCAGAATCAAGTGCACCATATGTTTCTACTTAAACAGTGCACAATAATGTATACAGATAGAACCGTCGTTCATATACACACACGTATCACGTTTAAGCTAACACGCTTAGAGTCTGTCTATTTAAGTATTTGTTATTTTTCTTCTACTCATGTGAGAGTGCTTGTCACGCATTTCAGCATTCTCATACCGCTTTTCATCGTCTTCTGTTTCTTTTTCTAACAATACAACACAGAAACAAATATTTTTTATGCTGACATTAATATA